TGACACCCAGGGACATGGCAGCTGGTCCTCTGTGTAGTCTGGGTTTCAGTGTCTGTTACTTTGGCATAATTCCCATCACATTTGCAATGAGGAGAGGCGACCGAAAACCACATGCGTGACCACCAGTCAGGACACAGCATGCAGGCACATGCGAATGCTTGGTCTCCCGAGGCAGAGAGGGCAGCACTCCGAGGAGCTGGCTGTTCCTCTCAGGCTAGCCAACCAGATCCTGAACTTCAGAGGGAGGGAGGACAGGCCATGAGCAGCGTCCCATGAGGGATATTCCAGAAACCACCCACTGCCTAGCCAGCAATCCAGAGCAGGCAGGACCCCTCACCACCAAGGGCCTGTGAAGCCTGGTGCTAATCCATCACCACCAGCAACACCTTATGTCCTCCTGGCCACCTACCACCTGCAGCCCAGAGCAGACAAGGGTGGGGGTGCAATGACAGGGGGCAGAGCACTGTCTGCACTATACTCATCTCCCTCAAAGACCCAAGATAGGTTTCCTGAGAAACACTCCCTCCTGGGTGCCCCAGCCTGTGAGCGTCTGACTCTGAGGCACGTGGACAGGACTGTTAACAGCTGGGACTCATGCCAGCAAATGGGTCAAGGGCAGGATAGGTGAAGTCAGGAGGATGGCCTTGAACAAGGAAGGGTGTGAACAGGTTGAACACCAGGTCCCTGAAGACTCCCAGCCACATCCACGGCAAACCATCAGATAGATGCAGACTGTCACTCCCACTGTGTTCCCAGAAGAAAAGAAAGGGTCGTTTAATCATTCTCAACATAAAGATGGTGTCAGCAACCAACTACAACTCCTGCCACTGTGGTCTCCAAATCCAAGGTCTCTGAGCTTTCCAGCACTCCAAATGCCTTCAGCTGAGAGTCACCAGAACCTGCTTCTGCTGCTTACAACCAGGAACCCTAATACAAAGAAAGGAACCAGGAGTGGGTGGAGCAAGAGCCCTGCAGGAAATGGGACAACCTAAGACTAACAATGCCAGACGACAGTGACAATCCAACTAGCATTAAGGGACAGGACACCAGCAGTGCCTGGCATGCCATGATGAGACAGTAAATCCTGTGGTCTCCCAGAGCAAAGCGCCCATCAAAGGAAGGGCTTTCAGGGACCGGAGGACCCCTGCCATGGGAGGGGAAGGCGATCAGGATGAAGGCAAGTGCTTGCACATGGCAACTGTACTGACGGCACCAAGCAGCTTAAAGGAAAAGACAGACAAGCTGACAGTCTAAATTCTTGGCTGAAGGCATGGTAACAAAGCTGGGAAATTTTTTAATCTTGTAGCTACAAGGCTGACAGAGTGAAAAAACAAACAAACAAAAGCCATGGTTATTCACACCCTTGATAGTTCCCTCATTGGGAAAGGGTCAAGATTGGAGACCAGAGATGACTAGAATGGGTACCTAGGGGAGAGCTGCAAGACCCAAGTGCCCCACAAGGGCCAGCTCTGCAGCCAAATATACCCCCTTCCTCATTCGGAAGATGCTGATGACAGAAACCAGCTGGCTTTTTTTTTTTTTTATCAAGTCCATCTTCCTCTCTTCCTGGGCACATGTCAAGATGGCTATAGATTTCCCTAAGGGAACACTAGTGCCTGTATAATGGGCTCCCCATGGTTGTTCATGGCAGAAGTGTAGTGGGGACATGTGGATTCTGGGTGACCCCAGAGGATCCGTGCACACGACTTCCCAAGTCATCTAAGGTACCTGCTTTTTTGAGGGCAATTCAGAAAACAGGAGAATGAGTGGGTCACCTGGGAGGATGCTGTGGCTCAGGCCTGCAAGTGGTGGGCTGCTTTCTCATCCTTAACCATGGCTACATACCTACATGCGAGGGAGCCTAAGAAATGCCTCTTGTTTAGGGTCAACAAGCACGCGGGGAGGGTCTCTGTATTTACAAGGCAGTTTTATTTTGGAGGAACACTCTTCCAAGTGGTACAGCACTCTTCTGTCAATATGCTGTACCGAGGTAACCTGCAGTTGCTGTGATGTTGAACCTTGTGCCACTGGGGTGTCAAGTGCCGTAACGGCGACCCATGGTGGACAGTGTTTGGTGGAGCTCCCAGTTTTTGGACAGGTTTGGAAACAGGAGTGGCATCTACTTCCTAAACAATATGCCTCTGGAAACTCTATGAACTTTCATAAATGACAACAGTTACAGAAAGGCTTCAGGCTTTTTGTTCATAGGGTCTCTATGAGTCGTGCTTGACTCAGTGGCAACCAACAACAACGTGTGGGTCCATTCCAACACAGAAAACAGAGATTCTTAGAGCTCGCACAATAAGTGACATCATGATAAACACAGAAAAGATGTAAGTTCTTAGTAATTTTATTTCACTTGGATCCACAATCAACACCCATGGAAGCAGCAGTCAAGAAATCAAGTGATGGATACTGCACTTGGTAAATTTGCTGCCAAAGACCTTGGCTGAGTGTTAAAAGGCAGAGAGATCACTTTGAAGACTAAAGTGGGCCTGACCACATGGTATTTTCAATCATCTGATATATACATACACAGACACACAAGGAACCTAACAGTGAACAAAGAGGACTGAGGGAGAACTGATGCTTTGGGTTGTGGTTTTGGTAAAGAATATAAAAATGTTC